CAGTGATACAAAGATAATTTCCATGTCACATGAGAACTTTAATCCACCCTCTGACCTTTAGTACTTGTTATAAACCTATGAGTTCCCCTTGCATCTTTCATTTAAATAATAAACCTTATGAAAAAAAAGTGACACTGGAGAGCAGGGTGAACAATCAACAAAACTAAGGCCATATGGAGATCTCAGATTAATTTAACAAAGGCCTTGTCTTAGAAGAAGATTTTTTTTTTACTGTGGTCAATGACCAATGTATAATAAAACTCATTAACATAAAACAGGCTGCATGGATAGGTATGGCAATGTTGGCCTAAATTCAAAAGTTCTCTGAAATTCAAAAGTTCACTACAAACAATCATTCCATGCTGGGGCAATAAAAAGAGCATCTTGTCCTAACTTGCAGATTGGTGGAGTGGTGGGGGGTACAGAGAAAATCAGAATAAAATATTAAAAAGAAACAATTGGACATGAGAAACAGAAAAGAGCTTTAGAAATAGATAACCCCAACTAGCCTTAGGCCCTGCTCACTGCTTGCTTAGGCCTCACCCACTGTTGATGTGCTGTCCTCAATAGATCACTTCTAGGGGAAGTGGCCATTGAACAAAAAGAATTGCCTGCCTTTACTGTGTTTATAAGGCATTTACTGTAGCCATGTTTAAAATTGGGCTGCATACTTTTAAATTGTAATTCTTTCTAGTTGCTCTGTGATCACAGACAATAACCCTCTAAAGTCTCTGCATTCACTTTTCAAGCATTTGAAGTAATCAATATAAAACAAACATACAGGTAGTCCTCAATTTACAACCAATCATTTAGTGACCATTTGGAATTACAGCAGCAATGAAAAGTGATGTGATTGTTCACACAACCATTGCAACATCCCCATGGTCTTATGATCAAAATTCAGATACTTGGCAACTGACTCATATTTATGATGGTTGGAGTGTCACAGATCATGTGGTCACCTTTTGCAACATTCTGACAAACAAAGTCAATGGGGAAACCAGATTCGCTTAACAGCTTTGTTACTAATTTAATTGCAGTGATTCACTTAATAACTGGCAAGAAATGTCGCAAAATGGTGCAAAACTCAACTGTCTTACTCAGCAACAGAAATTTTGATTGTGGTCGTAATTCAAGGACTTTAGGCAACAAAAGTGAACATACATATAAAGCATAGCTTTCATATAAAGATTTCTAAAAATAATTAAGTATTTGTAATTTTTGGAGAGCACATGAGGTAGCTAGATTGGAAGATGCAATCCCCTAAGAAGATCATTGGGATACTAACAAATATGAAATATTTCACTAACTGCAGAAGTAAAGATTTAGAGTATTGTACAATATCTGACTTTGAGAAAGAAGTAGTATTTTAAAAAGTGAGATAATTTTTGAAAATATCAAGCATACAATTTTATGAACGCAGTACATTTTTGACTAGGGCCTGCAACTCTGTTTATTGGCATGTCACAGGATGTCTTCCAGTGATAATCTTTTTTAATCTTGGTATTTTTTATCTGATTTTTGAAGGAAAGTATAATGGAAAGTAGGTGGTAAACTGCTTCTTGTCCTCACTTTTAAAGCATCTCAAAATTTGGTATGTTTTGTGATGGCAAGTTAGTGGAAGGTATATGAGTGGTTTGCTTCTCAGAGATCTTTTATTTCTACACTAATACGTTGATTTGTGAAGAAAACTAAATCATGCTGTCCAAAATGGGCCACTTTCTCACTGAATGTCAGAATTGGGATTCTGAGGGGCTGACCATCTCTTAATATAGTATAGCAATCCCATGCATGATTACTGAGAAGTTAGTGCCACTGTTTTTAAAGGAATGTGGTCTCTATTGATTAAGGCTATGTACTATGCATGGCCAACAGTATCAGCAGGTATTTATAACTTGTAAATCATAGTAAGAACTGCTGTATCTTACATTACAAAATTATAGAATGCATCAGTTTAAATTGTCTTTATAGCTCACCTAGTCCAGGGCAGGAATCAATTGAACCCTCTCTATTGATTCATCCATCCCCTTTCTGAAAGTCTTCTACAGGGCGGAATTATTTCCTATGGACATTTGTATGGAGGTAGACAAATGGCAAAAACATAAATGACAATTCAGACGTCAGGATATAAGTACATGGGTTGGTTTTATATGACGACATCCCCACGTGTATGTCATTTTGGCATAATTGCTGTGTACATACATGCTGTTGTTCATTGTTTTAAGCAGAGTGTGCCAGTATTATATCTTACCACAAAAACATTTCTCTTAATGCCCATTAGTAAGGGTCAGTATTTCTTTTATCATATATCTGTATTTATTTAAGATTAGATAGCCATATTTTTTTTGTGTGTGAATCTTCTGGTTCAGTGATACCCATAGTACCATGACAAGGCTATCAATGTTATTTATTGATTTTTGGTGAAAATGGTTTGCACATTTATTTGTTTTTATTTTATATTATGGATTGTGATTTTAAAATTTATTTATTAAAATTATATAACCCTGCTCTTATGCAGTATAATCTTGGGCAACTTACAAACAGGAGTGGGATTCTATCAGTTCGCATTTGTTCGCTAGAACTGGTTGTTAGCATTCTAAGCAGTTCGGAGAACCTGTTGTTAAAAGAAATTACTGGCCTAATCCTGTAAGGAAGGCAGGAAGGAAACATTCTGGTGTTGCTTACAGAAACTGCCTCTCTGTTAACCCTTATTACATTCTTGGCAGGACTAGACTTCCTGTCTCAGGAACTTCTCTGGAGTTTTTTTTCCCTCCTTTGCTGGTCCTTTGCTTGTGTGGCATGACCATTCAAAGTTACAGTGGCACTGAAAAAAGTGACTTATGACCATTTTTCACACTTATGACTCTTGCAGCATCCCCACAGTCATGAGAGGCCAGGCGAGGAGATGTGTGCCTCAATGTGAGTGATATTGAGCTGGCCACACCCAGCCAATAGCATGACCACCAAGCCATGTCCATCCAGTCAAATGACCACCAAACCACGCCTACCACCTAAGCCACGCCCACAGAACCGGTTATTAAAAATTTTTGAATCCCACCCCTGCTTACAAACAATAATAAAAGCCTAGAACTAACCTAAAACTCCTAATGCCCTTAAAACAACATAACCTTCATTTCTCTAAATGATTTTTCTGGACTTCAGCCATATAGTTCCCTAGTATTTTAAAGAAAAAACAGGCCTTGAGGGTTTATCGGAAGACCCAGATCTCAAGGGAAATGGTGTTCCAAAGGACAGGGAAAATTATTAAGCAGGCATGTTGTCTAGTTCTTGCTGGATGATAATACTTACTTATTAAATTTATATGCTGTCCATTTCACTGTCAAGAGACTGAATGGCATACAATGTTATAAAACAGCAATATAAGGGAAAGGACCAAGGGTGGGGGCTGTACTGTTTGATCTGGTAAAATGGAAGGTAACCTCAGGGAAGAGATAGTCCCACAAATTTTAAAAGTGATAATTAATACCTTGAATTGCACCCAGAAAGAAACTGGAAATCAGTGCAGCTTGCGCAGCAGCAATGTAACATGGGCAGACTTGGGGCACCCAAATTATTTGTACTGCTTTATCCTGGACCAATTGTTATTTCTGCATGGTTTTCAAGGATATTTCCATATAGAATATGTTGCACTTGTTCTGTTTGTATCTGGCACTCTATCATAGTACTCATATCTATACCTAATAAAATTCAAAATTATTGTGATAGCTTATAGAAAAAGTTGAAAGTAACATAATAAAATTAAAAAGAGACACATGCATAATTCTTCACTTAAGAAACAAAGCAAATGTGCAAGTAGAAAAGTAGAAGTAACCTGAATTAGTAATGATATGAGAGAAAAATACTATTGGAATAATAGTTGATTGCAAAGTAAATATAAGCCAGCAAAGTTAGGTGACTGCAAAAAAGATCAAAACAATTTGACTTTGCATCAAAAAGAACTTCCAAATCAGAAGAAGTAATTGTTCCTCTGTATTGTATTTCAGTTAGATTTGCATGTTACATATTAAACCATTTCTGTTTTGGGCATCATATTTTATTGAATCAGGCTAGAATAGATGAAAGAAGGGTAGGAAAGATAATTACAAGGCTAAATGATAAGTCTTATGAAGAGAGATTGGAGCTGAGCATGTTTAAATTTGAGTAACAATGACTGAGCAGAATGTGAGAGCACTCCTACGATAAGTCTTTGAAAGAATGTTATATAAAAGAAAGTCAAGACTGTGTTTCTCTTGCCCAGGACTACAGAATATGAAATAATTGATTTATGTTGCAGGAAGGCAGATAATTTCTTAACAGGAAGAGCAGTTCAGTAGTGGAACCAGTTATCCAAAAGGTTGGTAGGTGCACCTTCATTGGATGCGTTCAGGTGGATACTAGACAGCATCTGCCTGGGATGCTTTATTTGAGTTTTAGCACTGAGCAGGAATTAGGATTAGATGACCCAGTGGTCCGTCTCAACACTTTTATTTCAAAATGTTAATATTTTCAGAATATTTTTTAAAAAATGAGAATTGAAACTAGTTATAATCGGGATTAAGAACTAGTGTCATTTTTAAATGTCTGCAAACAAAATGCTGGAATTGCATAGGATTAGTTGTGATTCTAAGAGGGATGCTATTAGCTGAAAGGGATTACAGGTAGTCCTCGATTTACGACCTTAGTTGAGCTCAAAATTTCTGTTGCTAAGTGAAATATTTGTTCAGTGAGTTTTGCTCCATTTTACAGGCTTTCTTGCCATAGCTGTTAAGTGAATCACTGCAGTTGTTAAATTAGTAACAAGGTTGCTAAGTGAATCTGGCTTCCTCATTGATTTTGCTTGTCAGAAGTTCGCAAAAATTGATTACATGACCCCGGGACACTGCAACTGTCATAAATATGAGCCAGTTACCAGGTCTCTGAATTTTGATCATAATGACCTTGGGGATGCTGCAATGGTCGCAACTGTGAAAAATGGTCATGTCAATTTTTCAGTGCTGTTGTAATTTCAAATGGTCACTAAATGAACTGTTGCAAGTCAAGGACTACCTGTATTTCTGTATGGATATTTATTGTCTTTGATCTGCCAACCACAAGTTGCTGAGATAGGTGAGAGATGAAAACTTGCCCCCTCTTCAGTCATTGGCATTTTGGGATGCTGATAATAGTAAAGGTTTTTACAATTACATACTGCCTAGCAAAGAAAATCAACTTTTTATTATTAAGTTGATTCTCATTGCTAGGCAGTATCTAATTGTAAAAACTTTTTAAAAATATTGTTTGGCAGCTTCTGATAATGAATATTTCTTTAAATAAAAGAGTAAACTTACACATTTACAAAATAAAATTTCAGAAAAAAAAAAATTTAAATATGTGAAGGAACTTTCACTATTTCAAAATTAATAAATTTGTAATTAATGATTAAAAAGTTCACTGAGTTTGGGCATCTTTGAGTGGATAAAAGTGCTGCTCTAGACCTATGTGAGTCAATTTCATGACTTACACTTATTTTAACACATGAAATTATTGAAAATAATTTATATGACTAATTCATAATGTGACTTATTTTTTACTTAGTAGGCTGTACATACCCAATCATTGGGTAGTTCACAAGAGAGATCGAAAATATAACCGTATTAATGCTTTGGAAAAATTCAAAATATGTGTTTTTCCTATTGTGTTTGTGACATATTAAGCAAAAAACCAAGTTAATAATTATGCACTATCATTTTATATTCTGTCATATCCACAACACCATCTTAAGTTTACTTTAATGAGAAACTGAAAACAAGATTATTAATGGTAATTAGTTTTGTTGTTTTTGATAACTATTCATAGCAGGATAAAAGCTGGAGTTTTTGACTTTGCATTTCTCAGAGGCAGGTTACTCCTTGCCCTGTATTTCCAGTCTGGTGTGGAAGTTAGAAGCTGGTCACATGTTGTAATACTAGAACCACAGATTGTGTTCACAGATACATGGCAAAATGGTATAACTACAGGGTCCTTTTGAATAACTAGGATGTGGTATCTGAATTGTATCCTGTAACAAAAAGTCACACGATAAGCTATGTTTAGTTAGCCTTAACATGGTATATGAACCTCAACAACAGATTAGATTGTGATTTACATACTTTTTCTTAACTATACTGTATAACCTTATTATATTATTCTGGTGTGTCAACTAAGTCAGGAGTAATAGTAATTTGTGGTTAAGCAATCACTATACCACTGGGAAATCCACGAAGATTGCATGAGTATCTGAAGACTTTGCTGCTCCCACTTTATTTTCACTCCCCATGGACATGCAATGGTTTTGTTTTGCAAACAAAGGAGCTGGAAGAAAGAACAAGTCTTTCCTTATCCAAATTGTCAAGGAGGTGGCTTCAACCAACCAGGCCATCACAGGCTACATTAGTTGATGCTTGCAAAAGAGAGACATTTGCAAAAAAAAAAAAAAAGAGTACTAGGTAAAGCAAACTTTTTTGGATTACTGATCAGAAAGGAGGGGGGAATTAATGAACTGGTAAACTGTGGTTTGCTTTGGGATCTGGTATATATTTCTTGGTTGAAAGTTTATTGTTATTGTTAAGTTATAACTGTGACATTCAAAAATGTGTCACACTAAAATGATCAGTGCATCTTAAAAAATTTTTTAAATCTTTTTATCTTGAATTTAAACTTTGACATTTTTATTGTGTTGTTGTGATTAATAGATAAATTTCTTTATTAAACTTTACATTGCAGTAGTCCTGTCATGATCTATGTATGGAGTCATAAGAATTCCTTTAATTTGTTATCAGGAATTGGCAAAATTTTATTTAAGCAAGATGTTTGAATCATACAGTGCCCTAAGCTGAAATATAACTTGGTTAGTTCTGACTTAAGAATCTTGTACCCAATTATTGTGATTTGTAAATAATATTTAATGCTTTAGTATATTGTGTGTTGTATGTCAGTCCATTGTTATTTAGCTTGAAAACCCAAGTTATACAGCATGTGAATCTACTTGTATGATCACTTTTATGGAAAAATCTTTCTATAGCTTGGGCATATTATTTTCTCTTTAAAATATTAAAATCTATCTCACTAAATTCTATAAATTGTTTTTCAGGAAGCTTTTTTGTAAACAAGCACCTACCTGTTTAGATTGCCTGTCAAATAAAGGTTATATAATATAGAATGGTTAGTGTCTTCACTTATGCTTAAATCTGAATCAAATTCATTGATGCGATGCTGCATAATTTGAATTATGAACAATTATACTGACTTTGGAATTCAGAATGGGCTCTCAAAACAATCTTGGCTAATTGTGGTAGAGTTTGAATCTACAGAATAGCATATTTTAATCTTTTTTTTTCTTAATGAAAAACAAGGGTATAGTCATTTACATTTAAAATATATCCTGTGATTATTTCTTTTCATAGAAATAGGCCAGACTGTATTTTACTCAAATGTACTTTCCATTGCTAGAATTCTTACACTTGATAGATTCTGCTTCTGGTACTATGATAGCCTCCCCAGACTTGGGACTTGGCAATAACTTATAGACCTCCCGATTTTACGTGCCTGAATTAGGCTCCTGTTTGAAGCCATTTGAAGTCTTTCAGACAAAGCTTGGTTTCATAATTAGCTTTGTTGCAAAACAAACAAGCATAAAGCCAAACTGAATAGTTGATTGCCCATTTCCTGTATGGATGATAAGTGTCTTATGCTTCCATATTCTTATACACAAAGAAAGTCAAGCTCTTAGCTTTTTCTTCCCATTCTTATTACAACTTAATGGACATCTATTATGCACTTGAAGCTCATGAAGGGCAGCTGGTGTTAAAATGATGCCCGCCTTGACCTGAGGACCACTGACTCTGCTTATTTCTTCCAACATTGGTAGACATGAACAAATCATAGGTTGTTTATATTCTTGATTATCACCCTCTTAAACTTGGTTCCAAGTGAAGAAAGCTTGCTAGGTTGGTTAATGATCTTTGCTTAGTTAAAATAACACAAATTGGGACTATTATATTTTTAGTTTCAGTGGTTGCCATGCATGGAGGGAAAGTATGCAGATCTTTTCATTCTTTCTAGATATAATGTACTGAACTTACTTTTTTTTTTTTTGTCCTGGGAGAATTCAGTACCCCAAAGTATTGCACAATTAGTTCACAAGGATAATAGTCATTAGTATTAAACATTAAATTCATTACAAATTTTACTTACAAGAAACCATATTGAATGAGCTTAGGAAAAAAAAGTAAGAATTTAGAATAAATATATTACAGCTTACAGATATTACCTTCTGTATTATATTCTCTCCCGCCCGCCCCCTGCCTCTTGGATCATTGCAGACTATCAATGGTCCTTAATTGCAGGTTGAAATTATTCATATAATTAAGCCATATGTTTTCTGATATTCTTACGTTATGCCTTATAAAATGCAGTCACTTTTCAATTAATGTATTTAATTTAAATTATATTTTAATTTATAAGGATATATTTACCTATTACAAAAAACCATCAATCAATTTTACCCAATATTTAGCAGTTCTTCATTCTTGAAAATCTTCATGACTTAGCTATGTTTATGTGTGTGCAGAAATTTAATTTTATTCATTGGGACTGTTTAGAAATAAATATTGATAAAACTACTGTTAGATTTCAGATTGATGATTTTGCTTAATATTTTTGCATAACTCAATATTATTGTAAGATATTAAAATCTCTTAATATATCTCTGCAAAATTTATTTATGGTCCAAAACCAAACACAGTAAAAGACCAGTATGGAATAAAATAACTATAAAAAGAAAATTTAAAATTGCAAGAAAATCCTAAAGCAATTAGCAGCTAACAGTTAATAGCATGAAGGAAGAACCAGACTGTTTGTAACATCTATAGCTGTTGCTAAAATTTTTGCAATCTTCTTAGAAGTTTCTAAGTTTCTTAGAAATTCCTGAAGAGCAATCACTCACTTCTAAGATAAGCAGCCTCCTGGTCACAATGGCAACTAGAGTTGTTAACAATTGGAAGTATTAAACTTGATTGCCATTTGGATGTGTACCATGGACATTTTAATAGCATTTGTGAGATATGTTCTACCTCTGAATCTGAACAGAAACAAGCTGGCTTTTAGTTGGGATGTTTAAATGTCTGCCAACAGTTGTGCCAATTATGGCCAAAGTAAATAATTTCTTATGTGAACATACAAGATGTTACAGAAGCATTCTAGGCAGACCATGGAAGAGCAGCTATTGTGCTATAAAAAGGAGGGTGACTTTGGCTCTGTCATTTTGGATGTGTATTTCATGTGAAACAAATATTTTTTAAGCAGCCATAAGTTTTGCAATACGATTGATACTTGAACTGCATCACCAAAGATCTTGGATTATTGGTACAAACTAATATTTATATCTTGATTGTTGTAGAAACTGGTGGATTGTAAATATTATATTTAAACCAGTATTTTTCCTTTATGTTTGTAATTGTCCTATTTGAGTTAATCCATGTTTGTAGTATATCAGATTTTATTACTTTCAATACATCTATTCTCGAGTGTGCTGAGTAGAGAATCCAAGGAATGGGTTAACTCTGCTCTTCTGCTCAGAGACTGAATCAATCAATCTTTTGGTCACACCTTCTTTGCTTGCACATACCCAGTTTTGACTCAGTCTTGGCTCAGAGGAGACGCGCGGAAAGATTGTTTTTCGAACAAAGACAGGGTTTCATTCCTTGGATTCTTCGGAACTTAAAGTAAGATCGTGGCATTGTGTTAGCCTTCGCAAAACAGCAAACTGCTCAGCTGGCTCCCTGGATCTTCTGACAAAGTGCCCTAAGGACTGAGCCGAGATCCCTGACTTTAGACGGAGGGGACTAGAACTTTATTTCAGTTCAGATTAACAGAGCCGAGGTCCCTGGCGCCTTCACACACCCGGTGGAGGGGACTAAAAAGTCACTGCCCGGTTAACTCCAGTGCATACGATTAACAGAGAGTCACTGCCCGGTTAAGTCCAGTGCAAACATTAGCGGCAAAGAGCAAAACGGGTCATTGCGAATGAGCCCTGAATTAGGAGCTCATATTGCAAAAATGGCGGCTCCCGCAACATCAGGCAGCCACAAAGAGCTGGGCATCAGTTGGGCAAGACCTCGGTTCCCCAGTCCAATCCAGATCACCAAGGAAAGCCCCTCAGTGCTGAAATCAGCAATTAGAGGAGCGGCTGCCCAAATCAGGGCAAAAGCCTAATCTGCAAAGATGACCTCTAAGGCCGAAGAGTGGGACGTCAAGAGGTGTCAGAAAGCCCTGGACAAACAGGTGGCCAAAGCTGAGAGAGAAGCAAAGTGCCAGGGATAGGCAAACTCCGCAAGGGGAGACGCTGCCATTTCCCGTGCATTTTCAATTCAGCTGTTAGAGCCTCTAAGTGAAGCAAGGCAATTGAATGATCTCAGCTCACAAGCCTGTTCACCAGATGACACCAGAGAGCAATCCTCTCAGCAATGATGAACTTTTTCTTCCATAGTTATATCTGCCTCCAGCAGAACAAAATTGGGAGCTATCTCCAAAGAGGTTGAATTCTGCACCAGAGGCCACTTTTACACCCACAGTGGTGGTACTCCACCCATGGGAAAACTGGGGGCCCAAAATCTCCGATCAGATGAGAATTCTGATTTCAGAGGTCATAACGCAGGGAATTGCTGCAGGCTTGCAGCAAAGACACCTGACTGCTTCTGGGGCAGCTGACTCCCCACTACATCAGGGCCATCATCTAGCATCCCAGATTCAAAGAGACTTGGTGGCCTTTCAAAGGCCTCACTCACCCATTTCATCCACACAGAGAAAGGAATCGCTCTCAGGAGATGCCGATCAAACAGAACTGGTATTTTCAGAGGATGAGGGGATGGCTCCAGATCCTCCAGGGCTATTTCACCCCGGCCTCTTTAAATCCATGCTATACAAGGCCAAAGCCACAGCCCGCTTGGGAGCTGATCAAACTACATTGGAGTCAGCATTGGGCCTAATGGGCCCAAGTGAATTGCTCACGTCAGAGCCAACCAAGGAGAGTGAGAAAATTCCATCACCCAAACTATTCCTGGATGTGGTCCAGAGGCAACGGACCCACCCCGGGGCATGCCTGTCTCCAAGTGGGAGCGATAAGAAATTTTAAAACGTGGTCCTGAAGCTCTCAACTTCCCAAGATAGACAGACGTGTGGCGGCTTTGGCATCCTCCACCATGTTGTCTGACGATATGGAGGACGCCCTGAAGACAGAGGACAGATAGGCGGAGGACAGATACTTGGGTCCTGAACACGGTGAGACTAGGTCTCACCCTAGAATTTTTCTCCATCTCCCCAAGATTCTTCCCCATCTCAAGGGACAACACAAAAAGAAGCCTCATAGAGACCGCAAACCAACACTTGTTGGACATTCAAGCTATCCAGCCAGTCCCAGAGGACCAACAAGGGCAAAGATTCTACTCCATCCTATTTGTAGTCCCAAAGACCTCAGGGGGTGGAGAGCAATACTAGACCTGGAAAGTTTTAACAGCCACCTGGCTTACAGGAGATTCAAGATGCAGGCCCTCTAGTACAGGGGTTCCCAAAGTGGGTAGTACCACCCCCTGGGGGGCGGTGGGATGCCTCAGGGGGATGCTGAGAGGCAAGGGGGCCAGCAGGGGGGCGCTAAGAAGCGGTGGGGCACTGGAGGTGAGCGGCAGGGCAGAATTCAGGGGTGAGAAAAAAATCCCGCCACTGCCACGTTCGAGGCAAGGCCCTGCAGGATCATCCCATTGACTTGCATGCTCTAGTGCAAGGAGCTCCGCCCCTGAACGCAGTGTTCGGAAAGGAGAGCAAAGCCAGAGTGGCTTTGGTCTCCTTTTCAAATATCCCGCTGCTGTGTTCGGGGTGGCAGGGCAGTCCCCCGAACGCAGTGTTGGGAATTGGAGAGCAAAGCCTTTTCAAACATCCTGCCGCTGCCATGTTCCACCCCATTGAGCCCCTTGCACCGGAGGCACCTGCCCAAGCAAGTCTGAATGGAGCGGTGCATGAAGTCAATGGGATGAGCCTGAGAGAGGAAAGAGAGAGAGAAAGAAGAAGAGAAAGAGAAAAGGGAAAGAAAGAAAAGGGGACAAAGAAAGAGGGGGATGAAAGGAAGGGACAGAAATAAAAAGAAATAAAGAAGGAGGGAGGAGAAAGATAATGAGATATCTATTCTAGTCCAATCACCTGCTCCAGCAGGGTTAGAAGGGAGCGTGTGCATGTGTGTCTTCTTGTAATTTACCAGTACATTTTGGTTTTGCCTTCAGAAATGGCACTGTAATACATTAGAGAAAAGTAATTTTTTAGGGTGGAGATCTGGTCCACTGGATCCTGTTTAAAGCCTTAACAAAATGTGAGAGCTTCCTTATGGTCTTGGCCATGTTTCGTCCACAAAACCTTTAATTAATAGAAGCCAAAGATGTTTCAATGTGCTGGCAAAGATGCTGGCAAAGATGCTTCAATGTGGAAAAGGGCCTCTAAATTAGGCCTCATTTCAATCTGATGCATCAGGTCTCTCTCTCTCTCTCTCTCTCTCTCTCTCTCTTCCCCCCCCTCCATCCCTCCCTTTGTCCCTTTTTCTTTCTTTTCTTTCTTTTCTCTTTCTTTTCTCTCTCTCTCTCTTTCCCTCTCTCAGGCTCACCCCATTAATTTGGTCCACCGCTCTGCTCGGACTTGCTTGGGTAGGTCCCTCCAGTGCAGTGGGCTCAATGGGGTGGACCTGCAGGGCGGGCACCTAGAACGCGGGAGTGCTGGCATGTTTAAAAAGTAGAGCAAAGTCAGAGGTCAGTAATTTTTGCTGCAAAAAATCACAAAAGCTTCTGGGTTGTGCACAAGAAGGGATACACATGTCAGTGCAATTCAGCAACATAAAGAAATACAAATAAAACAAATCAACAAGAATCGGCAAAGCATCTCTGATTAGATTTTATTCACTACTAGAATCTAATCAGAGATGCTTTGCTGATTCTAGTCCAATGACCTGCTCAGCAGGGTTGGAAGGGAGTGTGTGTGTGTGTATTTGTGTGCATGGCTGTCAAAACTCCAAAAACAGGTCAAGTAGTTCTGGGGAGGCCAGTCATAAATTAGAACACTTGCTAAGCAACCGGCCATTAAGTGAGGACCACTTGTGTTTGGTTTGCCAGTCACCAAACCACACTTACCCAGTCACGTGACCAAGCCACACCACCCAGTCATGTGACCAGCAAGCCATGCCACCCCATCACGTAACCAGCAAACCACAGCCTCAAATTAGGCCATGCTCACAGAAATTTGAATCCCACACGTGGGTGGGGGGCATTGGGGATGAGTTTGTAGCACCAAGGGGTGGTGGACTGAAAATGTTTGGGAACCACTGCTCTAGTACGTTCTGGAGAGCATCTGAGAAAGCGACTTCCTAGACCTCACGGAGGCATATCTCAGTAGACCTCATAGACCTCATGAAGGCATGTCTCAATGTGCCTATCCTACCATTTCACTGGCAGTTCCAGAGGTTCCATGATGCGGGCTGACACTATCAGTAAAAGGCCCTACCATTTGGACTGTCCTCAGCGCCCAGGACTTTCACCAAATTACTGGTGGCTCACCTCAGGGCAATTCCATGCCCAATGTTACCTGGATGATATATAGATATAGTCGTCCTCTCACCTCAGGGCGATAGAGGATCACAAATTTTCTGTCAATTTCAGCAAGAGCCACCTGGCTCCTACCACCCAATTACTACTTCTGGGGGCGGTAATAAATACTTCATCATGTGAGGCTTCCTTGTCTCAGGGAAGCCTTCATTGTCCTTAATAGTAAACATTCTAATATTTTCTTAATTACACTCTTATCTGTCGAGTTCTCATTGTTCTTTCATTGTTGTGCAAATACAATTCTGGCTGCAGTTAGTACATTTAAAATCAAATACACTGCTCAAAAAAATAAAGGGAACACTTAAACAACACAATGTAACTCCAAGTCAATCACACTTCTGTGAAATCAACTGTCCACTTAGGTAGCAACACTGATTGACAATCAATTTCACATGCTCTTGTGCAAATGGAATAGACCACAGGTGGAAAGCATAGGCAGTTAGCAAGACATCCCCAATAAAGGAGTGGTTCTGCAGGTGGTGACCACAGACCACTTCTCAGTTCCTATGCTTTCTGGCTGATGGTTTGGTCACTTTTGAATGCTGGCGGTGCTTTCACTCTAGTGGTAGCATGAGACTAAGTCTACAACCCACACAAGTGGCTCAGGTAGTGCAGCTCATCCAGGATGGCACATCAGTGCGAGCTGTGGCAAGAAAGTTTGCTGTATCTGTCAGCTTAGTGTCCAGAGCATGGAGACGTTACCAGGAGACATGCCAGTATATCAGGAGACATGGAGGAGGCCGTAGGAGGGCAACAACCTGGTATCAGGATTGCTACCTCCGCCTTTGTGCAAGGAGGGACAGGAGGAGCACTGCCAGAGCCCTGCAAAATGACTTCCAGCGGGCCACAAATGTGCATGTGGCTGCTCAAACGGTCCGAAACAGACTCCATGAGGGTGGTATGAGGGCCCAACATCCACAGATGGGGGTTGTGCTTACAGCCCAACACCGTGGAGGACGTTTGGCATTTGCCAGAGAACACCAAGATTGGCACATTCGCCACTGGCGCCCTGTGCTCTTCACAGATGAAAGCAAGTTCACACTGAGCACATATGACAGACGTGACAGGGTCTGGAGACGCCGTGGAGAACATTCTGCTGCCTGCAACATCCTTCAGCATGACTGGTTTGGCAGTGGGTCAGTAATGGTGTGAGGTAGCAATTTTTTAGGGGGCCGCACAGCCCTCCATGTGCTCACCAGAGGTAGCCTGACTGCCATTAGGTACCGAGATGAGATCCTCAGACCTCTTGAGACCATATGCTGGTGCAGTTAGCCCTAGGTTCCTCCTAATGCAAGATAATGCTAGATCTCATGTGGCTGGAGTGTGTCAGCAGTTCCTGCAAGACGAAGGCATTGATGCTATGGAATGGCCCGCCCGTTCCCCAGACCTGAATCCAATTGAGCACATCTGGGACATCATGTCTCACTCCATCCACCAATGCCACATTGCACCACAGACTGACCAGGAGTTGGGGGATGCTTTAGTCCAGGTGTGGGAGGAGATCCCTCAGGAGACCATCCGCCATCTCATCAGGAGCATGCACAGGCATTGTAGGGAGGTCATACAGGCACGTGGAGGCCACACACACACTACTGAGCCTCATTTTGACTTGTTTTAAGGACATTACATCAAAGTTGGATCAGCCTGTAGTGTTTTTTTCCACTTTAATTTTGAGTGTAACTTCAAATCCAGACCTCCATGGGTTGCTAAATTTGATTTCCATTGATAATTTTTGTGTGATTTTGTTGTCAGCACATTCAACTATGTAATGAACAAAGTATTTAATAAGAATATTTCATTCATTCGGATCTAGGATGTCTTATTTTTATGTTCGCTTTATTTTTTTGAGCAGTGTATATAGTCCTTTTATCATATTTTTCCAGCAGAATGCCCAATAAAAATATTTCTGGTTTCAAGTCTATATGCTTCTTTATCATTTTTTCCAACCAAGTATGTATTTTTTAGCTTTTGGGCATGTCTACCATATATGGTAATTTGAGCCAAGTATTTGATTGCACTTCCAAATTTTATCAGATCTATCTTTATACATTTTTGCCAATCTTATTGGTGCAAAATGCCATCTATAGAACATTTTATACAAATTTTCTTTATATGCAGTTGACCTACCCAAAACTTTTATAGGATCCCAGATAATGGTGTAGAATAGTAGAGAACTCATGGATAGAAAAAGAAGAAAGAAAAAGAAAAAAAAAACATGTCAGATGTAGGGAACAATTTAAGAGAAGTAGTTAGGAAAAATTCTCATCTGAAATATTTAATCTTTAAATATTTAATTCATATAGTACTGTAAGCCAAGCAAGTATAATATAATAAACTCAACTATTTATGAATTTTACTGTAAATCATACTATATGGATTATATTGTAAACCTTGGCCTATGACTAATACTATGGCCACCTAATGAGAAAGAAGGACTCACTGGAGAAGAGTCTAATGCTGGGAACGATTGAGGACAAAAGAAGAAGGGAACGACAGAGGATGAGGTGGCTGGATGGAGTCACTGAAGCAATCAGTATGAGCTTATATGGACTCCAGGGGATGGTAGAGGACAGAAAGGCCTGGAGGAATGTTGTCCATGGGGTCACGATGGGTCAGACACGACTTACTACTAACAACAACACATGACTTCTGTAGATTTGATATCTTCTATTTTAACATGTATATATGTGTATATGTTATACACACATATATACAATACTGTAAAATGCACCCCTTTCCATTGTATTAAATATGTATATTAATATGTACATATGTAGTACAATGGAAAAGGGTGCATTATACAGTATTGCGAATAGTACTATCATATGAAAATAAATTATGACATGGCCAATACTTTAATATCCTGGAGCAAGATATTAAAGTGAAATGTATTGAATTGGAATTAATCCATATGTCTGACTTTGTTGAGTTTAGTTTTAAATTTTAAATAAGACCAGCAACCTGACTCAACAAAAAGTTACTATTCTGCTCTAAAGTTGCAGTTATATTGCTGATCCTGCTCTCTCTGTGGCTTCTAATCAAAGAAAGATGATAGTCTAAGATGGACATTTCACTCATCTAATGCAATTGTTTTATAGTCTAAAAATGTATGTCTTATAAGAATTTTATTACAATTAACTTTTTAATTAGTGGTGCAGTTTGTATTACCATTTCTTGAATTGTTTAATAGACCTAGTTCTGACTACTGAATATTTGGTGTATCCTGAAGGAGCAAAAAGATATGAATGTCATAAAAGAACATTGTGATGTCAGCACATTAAACTCTATTACCCAGTGCAAATTTCAGTGAAGGGAATTTATCTTTGTGATAGTTGGCTATAGGGCGTGCTATTTTAATACACAATGTTAAGTTTAACCTGGTTTGCATGACTTTCAGAACAATAGAGCGAAGTGCATGGTGAATGCCATCAGACACTGAGGTTAGTGTACAGCATTTTTGAAGTTTTTCATGTTGCTTACTTAAATTCTTAAAGTCAACATTTTATTGTGTACTCCTAGATCATTTGAAGTTATATTTAACAATCTGATGGCTTTAAATGCTGCTGTACTGTAGAATATGTTTACAGAATCAGTAAAAATACAGGCTTGTCTTGAGGAACTTATAATTTAAAATTCAACATTGGAAAGCAACAGGAACAAGAAAAGAACATGAGAATCAATGTAATAGGATAAAGCTATACATCAGAATTGTGTATTTGCAAAATGTTTAAGTTGAGTTCTACCTATAGGAATAGAAAAGTTTTGGTATCAGATTATATTTTTTTCAGGAAGCTTCCCTAGAATGCGTCTTCTTCTTTTAGGGTAAGGTTAACTATAGCTTTTGCTATCCATATTTAAAATGATTATATGAAGTGTCATTTGAAAACTTGAGAGTTGTAGCTAGAATTAATCTTAATATTTCAGTAAATCATGATTGAGCGAAAATCAAAAGTTAAGAAAGGATTGAATAAACCCACTAGGACATTTTAGAGCACCAGATCATGGATCAAACTTGGGTCTCAGTTGAATCATATTAAGGTGCCAGAATTTGTTTTTTCGTGATAGCTTGCATAAATTTGATAATGCTGTTCTGGAAATTTGAAATCCTAGTGTTTTTTTTTTATTCTATACATTATGTTAGAAACTTTACTTCTTGATAAGCAATTGAAACATTCAAAAAGAATACTGCTAGTATAATTTTCACAGTTTTGTTTATTTAATTAAATTTTGGAAATGGATGAGGAAGTCACTAGAGCAAGAATAAAATTGGGCATCCAAAATGTAACACACATGATTTATTTTCTACTTGATTTTGTTTCTTTTCATTTGAATCCTATTCAGAGTAATAATTGTGTTTCATCTTTGTATAAAATGTCAAAATTTACATGCATGTAGTACACACATACAGTATACATATATAACCTGACTTTATTATTTTTTACATTATTTTGCTTTCTAGCCTGGTACCTTTACCACTAGACCAAACTGGTTCTTCAAATAATAACCAAAATAATAAAATTCCAGCTTTAAAAAAATAGCAAAAATGCCCTATCCTCTAAGGAAACTAATTGGTGAGTCTTTTACATCAGTTATTGGCAGGGATTTTTTTTGCCTAACAAGAATGTAAAAGTAATTTTTAAAAATATTAAATATGCTTCCAATTTTAGTTTAAAGCTCTTTTCATTTAGAAAACATTGGGAAACTGGTTAATAATAGGGCTTTGAAGGAATCATAGTATCTATCTTGAAGTGAACAAACTAATTCACTATATAGCAGTTATGGTAACTTGGATCTAATTATCATGAATTGAGCACTACTTAAATATAATTGGCTCTTACAATTGTTTTTACATTCAGTAGGTTTTGATCTGTAAATCTATATTTTACAAATTTGCCCAACAGCTGAAATGGTCATTGGATGATTTTCTTAGGAAACTCCAATATTTGGAATAAGTACATTTTTCATTGGATAATAGGACCTTTTCAATGAGTAAGCCCATATATACACATCATCTTATGTTCATTAATGCAATCCAACTATGCAGTTTTGCAATTTTGTTCTGTTACAAACAGTAAATAAAATTTACCTGTAATCATGAGCCCAGATGAAAATTGGATGTTCGATATCAGCTGCATTAAGAAACGAAAAGCATTTATTACTTATTGACCATAATAACATTATTAACCCTAATTATTACAATTCATTTTAAAATTTGGTTTAATACATAAATGGATAATACTCAAAAATTGGCATATTCTTCATGAATTAAAATTTAGGAGTGAGGCTTACAAATCTTCATTTTATAGTTTATACTTTGAATACTTTAATATACTTTAATATTTAATATACACCTTCATTTGCAAGTTCTCACAATAGTCATTATGAATATTTTCTGACAATTTTTAGAATTGAAACAGTCTTCCGCATCAAGGACAAAATCATTTTTGTCTTCATCACTATGAAATATTTGACCTATTTTATGCACATTAAACAGAAAAAAAGTAAAACTTGTTCAATGCCAAGAAGTAAAAAATTAAGTATTTTTTCTGCTGATCACTTTGGCTTATTCGATTGTAGTCATGTTTTCTACTGATCACTTTGGCTTATTCGATTGTAGTCATGTTTAAAATGGAAAGAAATTGGCAATAAAAGTTCATTGTAACTTTCACATTGAAAGATTGTCAAGGAAACACAAACATAAATGGAAGGACAGAATTCTTTGCCAAATTCACAGTCAGCTCTCAACATTAGGAATTCTAATTGAGAGAAAGGAAATTACATTAAATGGCAATAGATCTGTATTTGAAAGGTCTTTTATTTGAGGTGTGATCACCATACCAAACTTAACTGTCATATTTTGTGATAGGCCAGAAGTGTTTGGTAGCCTTTGGTTATAAAATAGCCAAAGCAAGATAATTGCTTATCAGTATAGAATTTAGAACTTATATACAGGTAACCCTCAATTTACGATCACAATGGAGACCAACATTTCTGTTGCTAAGTGAGACAATTTTTAAGTGAATTTTGCCCCACTTTACAATTTTTCTTCCTACCGGTGTTAAGTGATTCCCTGCAGTTGTTAAATTAGTAACACAATTGTTAAGTGAAATTGGCTATCCCATTGGCTTTGCTTGTTAGAGATGTGCAGCTATCACAAATATTAGTCAGTTGCCAAGTGTCTGATCACCATCTGATCATGGGGATGCTGCAACAGTCTAAATGTGAAAAATGGTCACAAGTCCCTTTTTTCAGTGTCATTGTAACTTTGAACGGTCATTTAAATGAACTACTGTTAGTCGAGGACTACCTGTATAGTAGCTGCATTGATGGTCTACAACAGGCCTGTCAAACTCGAGCCTGCATGCTGGATGCATCACACACTGGCTACGTCCATGCCTGGTTTAGCAAAGGGGAAAAAAGTCCTGACACGTCACATGATGCCGCAAGTTTGACACCCCTGCTCTACAATACAAGAATATGTAAGAGCTCATAAGGTATTTGCTGATACATTTTTTTAATGTGGTATATGCTAATCAAATAAATCTGTTTGGAAAAAAAATTAAAAAATACAGAGAAAAACTATAGAGAGAAATCTCATTAGTTATCTATGGTAATTACTGCAATATTGAAGGTGTCACTGAATGGTTAATTCAAGAAGGATCCAATACTGTACTAGATTGCTGCTCTTTGCATGAGACACAGCCAAGAAAAATTATAACACAATTAGCAGTTATCTTTGAGATACGTAACATTCCTAATCATTGCTACCCTGTGTTACAATTATTTCCTTTGGAAATACATCTTTCAAAGATCAAAGAACATAAATATTAATCAGCAGCTTCTCCTATGAGATACAATATGTGAAATATATCGCTCCAGCTCCATGCTTTCAAAAGCTGGGAAATAATAAGTGCTTTTGCAGGTTATGGTAAACCTTCTACAGTCAAGCTTATACTGGCTTGCCTGGAATTCCAGGTAAAATTTTTACAACTTGGCAGAAACAAATATCAGTAATGATTTGATTTCATCATGTTATTTGTGTATTTCTAAGAAAATACAAATCCAAATTAGTTATTTTCTTTGTCACAAAAGAAGTAATAGAATCACAGCCCTCTTGTTATGGTTTTAGACAACAGCATATTCATCATGCAGATGTTTGCTTGGTAAAATTACCTGTCCCAGTAGAGATGTCTGGGTGAAAGAGGTACTTATAGAATGGATAACTGGAAGAAACAGCATCTCAGTGCATTCTGGAATTGTTGTCCAGTCAGTGTAAACAGTCTTTGGCATACTAAAGAAATTGAAATCCGTTGTGTGTTCTATCTAGGATACCTTTCCATTTTAGAATAAATTTGGGAGTTAAGTGAAGACAACCTGGAGTCAGAACTAAATAGAATTTTAACCCTGAATGCTTCTTGTATATGAGAGATTGTGTTCTATTTTGGGGACAATTGGTCTTACAATCTTATTTGATCTGAATGGTATGCAATTATATTGCTATCGAAGCATTTAAATCCTTGTTTTTTAGAAACTAAGTATTAAAATACAAGCCAAGATTTTGAAGGATCAATTTTTGCTTGATTTTTTAGGAAGAACAGTGTTTATAGTTAATGTTCTAGTGAAGTAATTAAACTTAGTAGATAATTTTCTGATTTAGATAATTTTCTGATTTAGATAATTTTTATTAAAACTAAATTACACTATAATTAAGTTTTCATATGATGAATACTTTGAAGCTTTGCTTTGACCTGAATCTTTGAAAAACATTTTTTGATATTTGGGTAAATGAACAAACAGTAACAATTCATTAAAATTACTTTATCTATGTAGTACTAAAACTATCAGGTCCATAATCTTAAACTGGGAGGAGCAGTGCATCATAAGGCAAAACTTTGCCAACAAAAGTACCTCAAGTAGACTGACTTATAAAATGTCGGGATTCATTCCTCCTGAGGGAATGAAATTTGGGGAGGTGGTTGCTTCAATGCTGTTTGGCTGCTGCAATAACATGATCAATTTTAATGTTCTGTAATGTTTCCCTCCACTCACAAAATTATTTTTTCCTCTTGCCCAGCTATCGTTGTTTACCTGTCTTCTGGGAAGGGAAAGAGGAAGAGGGAGGGAGGGAACATCATGCACCTTCCTAATCCACACTAAATCCACGTCCCTTCCTTGATCTGTGTGATACCTCTTGAACACTCACATGTACTTTCCTGACCTACATTACCCCTGTGTAATTCTCCCTGACCTGCATTTCTAGTGCACCCTTGCACACCCTTTCTGA